TCTTCCGAGCTGGAGTCACTAGATGGCCCTGCAACACAGCCGGTGCCAGGGAGCGCTCGGCCGCCCGCGGCCCCAGCCGGCACCGACTCTGGAGCAGCGGGCAGGGCAGGGCAGGGCGTGCGCTGTGCCCGGGAGCCCCCCTGGCCCCGGAGAGGAGCAGCGGGGGCTACGGGGTGGGTCGCAGTTGCCCCGGTGGGCCCCAGCACTGGTGCGACAGGTCTGCGGTGGTGAAGGCAGCTGGCGGGGCCGTGGGGACGGGTGGCAGCGGTGCAGCGGGGCTGGGTCGTGCCTCCTGCTCCGTGACATCTTCATCCTTTTGCCGTGTGGGAAGGCGTCTTCCATGAGGACCTGCGTAAAGACCAGAGACCTGAACTGGTTGACCGCTCAGCGAGCCCTCCCGGGACATAATGGGGGGCAACCAGGGAGACCGAGCTGCCCGAGGGCAATCTGCCAAGGTGCCACAGAGACCACCAACCACCTCCTATGGCTCTGCTTGGACACCTAGGAGGTAAAGTGGCTCTGCAAAGCAGTGGCGGGTCGGACGGCTGTCAATAGAGGTGACGCTGTACGGACGGACACCCGACTAAACACCTGGGGAGCCCGTTGGCCCGCTTCGATCAGCTCGTGTTGTGCATCAGGAGCGCCCCAGGGAAGTCCAGGAACCTCCTGATGTAGACACACGAACCTCGAGGTGGTAGACCGTGTTCAAATGGCTTTGAGCAAACTCCGGTCTTATTACCAGACATCAGTAGCGGAGGACGGGCCGCACGCAGCCAAACCCACCTGGCGGAGGGACACTTGGCACAGGATCTCGCAAAACCTCCCCAGTGGGGAAACGGACAGCCAAGAGGACGTCGAGACAGCCGGATCGGATGACAGCGATGCGGACGGCCGCAGCGGGTCCTCCAGCGGAAGCGACAGCGAATGAACCGAGTTTAAGCCCTGTATTTGGGGACTGGACGAAGAGAGGGGGTTGGAGGGAGACGATGCTTTGCAGATGGGTGCGCGCGTGCGGATATTGCAGCAGGTGCGCGGGTTCCTGTGGTGGGTGACGGAGGTAATGAACAGTGACTAGACGGCGCATCTATATGTATATAAAGATGTATATTTTTACAAAAATAAAATCTTCCTCCTTTTGCCCTACTACCAGCAAGTATCCTCCACCTCAAACTTTTCAGCCCGGGGCTTCAGATACTTCCAAATCCTACGGTAGGCATCCTACGCCTGGAGGCTTAGGGTTTGGACGCCCCCGGGTCTCGCCTGCCCTCAGCCACCGGCCGCGGGAGCAAGCTAAGGAGGAGCCCCCATTTCCATAGTCGCGTGTAGCCGAGATCCTCCGGCTGGAAGTCGAAGTGGGAGGCGATCGCTGAGGCTCTTGCAGGTTGTCCCGTCCGCGAGCAGACGAGGGTGCGCCCTCCACTACGCAGTGCCATTTTAATTGCATGACCTCGGTCATGGGTGGTCATGGGATTTCCCCTGGCACGTAGTAGGGCCACATCTGGCTCTTAAACGATTCATAGGATTTGGAGCTGAGCTGGCTGATTTGCTAATTTGACCTGGGGGGACACACAAATTTCCTTTAAAAAAAAAAACAGCAAAAAAAGTCCTCCTTTTGCATCCCTCTTTCCCCTTGTTTCCAAAGCGCCTTTGCCCTGGAGGGTGCTGGGCAGCAGCAGCCCAGACGCCGCAGACTGCAGCTCTCCATCCTCTTATTAGCCTGTGCATGCCAGGGGGCCAGGCCTGCGCGGAGCCCCTTCCCGCCTCCGCTGGCACGGGGGACCAGGCTCGTTATCTCGGTGTCTCCCTCCCTCGTTGTGCTGCCAGACAGGCCCAGGCGGGCGCCTGTCATTAAGCTCCCAGGCTGGCTCCGTTCCCCCCAGCACACGCACACAGATGCTTTCCTGGTCTTTCAGGCCTCTGCCCCCGTCACACGCCAGCCAGGTGAATGCTTTGATCCCGGGGCCTTTCTTCTTGTAATCTCCTGCAGGGATTTCCTGTGCTTCGTCTTGTGCTGAGTTCAGACGGCTGCGCGTGACCCTGGGGCTGAGCTTCCCCGTGGGGAGGAAACACCTTCCTCTCTAAATCCCCCCTCTGAAAAAAAGAAAATCCCCTTTCTAAATCATTGCACGTCGCAGCCTCTGGGGAGCAGAGGGTTTGGATGGGCCCAGCCAGCGAGCTCAGCTGCAATCCCTCCTGAACGACAGCCGAGGCCTCGATTGACTCCGCTGACGTCCAGTCTGGGTGACTCCTGCCCGCGGGACGTCCGACGTGTGCTGTCACCTCGGTGACTGGCTCCGGCCAGGGCCAAAGGGACGTGCGAGGGGCTGCGCTTGCAGGTTTGCTGGCAGTCCTCAGTGATGACGCTGCTGTTGAGAAGACCACAGTAGCATTTCTTTCGGGCGTATCTACACATGCACTTTAATTAGCCTATTTTAATGAGCGTTAAAGCATGCTATTTAGCTAATGTGCATTAAAACAGGCTAATGTACATTTAAGAATCACTTAAAAACCAAGCTTTTTAGTTAATGCACATTAAGAGACTAATGCGCATTTTCCTAGTACCTCACAATGGAGTACCAGATTTAATGCGCATTAACTAAAGCACATTAATGCACATGTAGACGCACGCTGGCGGCTGACGGAAGAGGTTCAGATCGCTCGGAGAGCCTAGACGAGGTCACCGTATGAGCGGTGCAACTGCTTTGCTTTCCTTTTGTGTGCGGGCCACCTGTAACCCCCTGGGTGCAGAAACGGGGTCTAATTCAGTCCGTGCAGGCTGGCCCCGAGGGGACACATACCCCGCATGCTCTCTTCCGCAGACCTGTGCCGCCGGCTTTCACCCTCCTGCGAGTCTTGCAAGAGTTGATGCGTTTCTCTCGCAGTCCCGGCCCCGTGGTGCCAGGCGAGCGCGTGACGTGACAACCCCAGCTCTCACGTATTACAAGGCAGGTCCTCTATGCCCGGGTCCCCTTGCTGCACCTGGGGCCCTGCTGCAGCCACCTCCTGCCTGCTCGGCCTCCCTCGGATCTGACTTTGAGCGTGAACAGGCATCGTGCCACTGGCAGAGGGCCGGGGAGCTCCCTCGCAGGCCAGGCCCCAGGGCTGGGTGGGTCTCGCCTGCCCCGCATAGCACGAGAGGGGACGAGCGTTGTGCACGTCCCCGTGCAGCATTGCAGGACCTCCAGCTGCAGCCCGGAGGCTGCGTGACGTCTGGGAAACGCTGGAGGAAGGAGCGAGGGCGCAGCACATCTACAGGGGACAGGGATGGGAGGGGAGGCCAGGCCGCCCGGGCGATGACACAGCTGCAAGTGTGTGCGCGCTTCCTGGCAGCCGTGAGAGCCCTCGGGGAGGCGCTGGGAGCAGAGCCCTGGTGCGTATCTACAGGTCGTCTCGCTCTTCAAAAGCGGGGGGAGCCTGAGGGCGAGATCAGCACAATACAATCCTGCCCCATGTCCCATAATCCCCGCTTGGGCTGTCTCTCTGGAAGGGCCTAATGCACCCTGGGCTGCCCCGAAATCAGCAGCAGCCTCCAGGCGTGCCTGGCTCGAGCGGCTCCTGAGGGGTTGGCTCCGCGTCTGCACAGAACGGGCAGCCCGGGGTGGCTTCGGCTCCCAGGTTGGCTGCACGTCTCGATGTGAGAGGGGAGCTCACGCTTATAGCAGGAGACCAGCAACCAGGAGGTCGCTTTGTCTCTGCCACTGCCTTGTTGTGAAGCCAAGGTCAAATCGCTTATCCCGTTGTGACTCCTTGGCCCGTCTGGGAGGAATGGCCCGACTCTCTGGGGGATGTGGGGCTCGGTAGGTTGTGTCCAAGGGGTGTTTGCAGACCTGGGGGGTGAGGAGAGCTGCCATGGTGGTGGGACAAGCCCAAAGGGAGAGGGCAAGGGGGACCGGGCAGCCTGCTTTGCACGTTCCTCTTGTCGGGGGTCGTCTCCGAGGCCTGGCAGTGCTCGTGTAGGACCAGCTGGGACTCAGGGCAGACGTCCTGTCCCCATGGGCACGGCACAGGCTGTCCCGTTCCCCGCGGGGGCAGTCGGCGTTACCCCCGCCGCGGACGTGCAGCG